GGGCCAGTGAAAGAGAGGAAGACCCTCAGCAAGATGGATTGATCTGGTGACTGTAGCAGTGGGCTCAAGTGTACCAGAGATGGTGAGGATGGCACAGGATAGGGCAGGATTCAGATCTGTTACTCACTGGATTGCTATTTGTTGTATTGAGCTTGCTAGTATATAACCACATAAGGTCAGACATGGTCCCTCACACTTCTATACCTACTTCTACTAATCTCTGGATCCAGAATTTGTTGCAAATGACCACTTAGACTTTACAGAATCTCTTTTTACTCACATTTGTGGGATTTATTAGGGAAACATGTTGAAGGAGGGGAGAAAGCAAAGGCTATCAGACAGAAGTAGTTCAGATTCAGTAAACAACAGTCCCAAGCCAGGTTAACATCCAGATACAATCCCTCAATTAATTCAGACAGTAGGGTACCTCTGGCACAGGAACCTCTGGCCCTAACGAATTTGTGCTGCTTTCTCTGCTTTTTTCCTGTTGTTTAGGCTTTCTCAAAGTATTCTAGCCTTGACTCTGTCAGGTTCCATCTGGCTTCCTCAGGTTCTGCTTTGCCACAACTTTGCTACAGTTTGGTTAGCTATCTTATGTTGGTCTCAACAGTTGCTAATGATGTTAAAGACGTTGAACAACAGTGATCCAAGGATCTGCATTTGAGGCAGCTGGAGATCATGTCCCCAGGGAAGCTAAGGGTGGGTGGAGCCTCAAATTTCTTTTACTTAGAAGTTCTTAATGTTTTAACATGAAAGTCCTGTGGATAATTTTGCTTTAAGGTTGAAAATAAATTTTAGTAAGGAGTGTGCTGCTAATTCAAAGACAGACGGTTTCAAGACAGACGGTTCAAATTCATCATGTGCTCTGAATGAGAAAGATAAGCAATCTCAGCTATGAATGAGTTCTGAGTAGACTGCAGAGAATGAGGCATTATTATGTATGTCATATGTGCAAATGATGAAGATTATATATAATACACTTCTTTTATACTCATTATATTTCTTATTCTAAAGTGCTTGAAAACAGTTTTATGCGGTATCCTGAATTCTGCATTATTTCATGAATTATTGTTGTGTGCTATGGAGTCAGAACCGATCCATAGCAGACCCTCTAGTGGGTTTTCAGAGGCAGTTAATCATACCAGGGGAGACTCCCCATCCTTCTCCCTTGGAGCAGCTGGTGGCCTCAAACCATGTGCCTTCTTGCCAGTAGGCCACCAGATCTCCTATTTCATGAATAGCAGAGTATAATAAACAAATTTGTAAAAATCTAAGCAGTTTTTAAATAATCTTGATACTCTTGATTATTTGAGGAACAGAGGGTAGTTAGCTTCCATAGTCCTAAGAATCACTCCAAAACCCTTGAACTTATTGCTGTCGAGACCGTCCCATGAGTTTTCAGAGGATGCCAGTCACATAGGAGGGGATTATCCATCTTTCTTTCAAGGAGCATCTGCTGTGTTCAAATAGCCAGAAAGGTGTCATGGTTGGGCACACAACATAACTCCCTCCATACTTTGGTT